CCTAGCCAGTCATCATTCAGGTAGGTTCTAGCCAGTCATCATTCAGGTAGGTCCTCCTATTCAGTCTTCATTCAGGTAGGTCATAGTCAGTGATCATTCAGGTAGGTTCTCCTAGCCAGTCATCATTCAGGTAGGTCCTCCTAGTCAGTCATCATTCAGGTAGGTCCTCCTAGTCAGTCATCATTCAGGTAGGTCCTCCTAGTCAGTCATCATTCAGGTAGGTCCTCCTAGTCAGTCATCATTTAGGTAGGTCCTCCTAGTCAGTCATCATTCTGGTAGGTCCTCCTAGTAACTCATCATTCTGGAAGGTCCTCCCTGTCAGTCATCATTCAGGTAGTTTCTAGCCAGTTATCATTCAGGTAGGTCCTCCTAGCCAGTCATCATTCAGGTAGGTCCTAGCCAGTCATTATTCAGGTGGGTCCTAGCCAGTTATCATTCAGGTAGGTCCTCCTAGCCAGTCATCATTCAGGTAGGTCCTAGCCAGTCATTATTCAGGTGGGTCCTAGCCAGTTATCATTCAGGTAGGTCCTCCTAGCCAGTCATCATTCAGGTAGGTCCTAGCCAGTCATTATTCAGGTGGGTCCTAGCCAGTTATCATTCAGGTAGGTCCTCCTAGCCAGTTATCATTCAGGTAGGTCCTAGCCTGTCATTATTCAGGTGGGTCCTAGCCAGTTATCATTCAGGTAGGTCCTCCTAGCCAGTCATCATTCAGGTAGGTCCTAGCCAGTCATTATTCAGGTGGGTCCTAGCCAGTCATCATTCCGGTAGGTCCTAGCCAGTCATCATTCCGGTATGTCCTAGCCAGTCATCATTCAGGTAGATCATAGCCAGTCATCATTCAGGTAGGTCCTCCTAGCCAGTCATCATTCAGGTAGGTCCTTCTAGCCAGTCATCATTCAGGAATGTCCTCATAGTCACTCATCATTCAGGTAGGTCCTAATCACTCATCTTTCAGGTAGGTCATAGCCAGTCACAGTGAGGAGAGGGCCTTGCTCTGTCTGTCTTTAGAATAATCTTATCCTTTGTTTAGTTGTGTCTAGGGTTGCAAAATTCCAGGAACTTTAAATAAATTCCCTGGTTTTCCACAAATGCCGGTTGGAGTATCCCAGAATCAGGAGGGAATAAGCAGGAAATCCGGAACCCTCCAACCAGGATTTCTGGAAAACTGGGGAATTTATTGACAGTTCCCGGAATTTTGCAACCCTAGTTATATCCCAATAAATGTTCTTCAGAAGGATGTCTCTCCACCAAAATGTACTATATACCCTTGGCCCTCCATACACTCCCCTCACTATCCTAGGTCTCCCCCTGTCTAACTTAACTTGTATTACACAGTGTAGAATACCACATAATTAATTCCCCAGTTGATAACACTTTTATATTCTGTTTCTGTCTTATATCTAGAAGAATTGTAAGTTAAGACATTAAACTGTGAATATGTGTGTTCTCTGAACAATATTTTTTGTGAACAAATGTTTCATTTTGGTGTTATAATAAGGTTGGTAGCAACTTGGGAAATCGTTGTGGAAATCTGTTGCAGCTCAAGTCGACTACAAAATCCACATTGCAATGCTCTCTCTATGGGGTGGCTCTGTGGGTAGCTACACACAATAATACTGTGATGACCTGACTAGATCATAAAAGAACAACTGTCCAGACAGAGGATTGAGTTTACGAATGGACGGTTTATTAAACCAACTTTACACAGGCTACTGTTTGGCCGTAGCCCACGCCAAATAAATGAAAGATAACCCACAAGCCAATCGTGACCTTCTCTTGTGAAGCCCAGACGTAAAGAGAGAGAGAACAAAGGCTAAACCTGGTCTTAACTTCCAATGCTCCATCCCCCTGCCCAACCCCCCTCCACGCCACTCCGCCAACCGCCAGGATGCCCGGCATCAGAACATTCCAGGCATTCCCGTGATTGGCAGATAGCAGGTTGATTGACATGTCGGACCCCGCGAACACTGGGTACTGGTAGGTACAACACAACCATCTACTAGCCTAACACATAACACACAGCTGTCTGTGCGGGTCGCTACAATACCAAAGACAATATCAGCATGTAACGTAGCTAGTTAGCTGTAAAATCGCCTAAACAAACGGCACTATCAATTTAGGAGTCTACAATCTCACCATGTTCAACCTGCAGATCGATGTGCCTCACAGAGTGGAGTGAAGTCTAACATTCGCCACGGCAAATATACTTTTGATGAGATGGGAAACGTTGCCCACATAACGTCAATGGGCCGCATGGTGTATTCTGGGCGATTCTGGAACAAGGAGCGCTCTCCTTCAAGGAGTGAATGGGAGTCTATTGGGCGCTAGCTCAAAAACCCAACATTAGCACGAATTTTGTCAACAAGAACTACAACATTACAAATCTTTTCCGAGACGTGAGATAATTAACATGCTATCTGTAGTATCGTATATAGCTTTGGAATCGTGACTGTACGTACTTTCGAGGAAAATAGGCACGTTTCTCGACATATACGCTAACTTTTAGAAGGGATTGCGTAACGATTATCTTAGCAACCGCGTGACACAGCATGACAACATGAACGCGATTGGTCGACAGTCTGCTGGGTGGGGTGTTATACGTTGCTTCATTCAGTTGATTGCTATCTCCTTTCTATAATATATCTGGCAACTGCACCATGCAATGCACCCTGGACTAAAGAGGCAGACAAATAGAAAAAATGTGCTAGACCCTCCGTTAAATAAAAAATTTCTCGAGGTAGGAATACAGCAAAAATATGATCAATGGCTCATTCGAGAGAAGACATCCTCCCGAGTTATGGCATCGGCCAGTATTGAAATCTGACATGTATGATAGACGTTTTCGCGATCTAAAAGTCATATTCCTATTCACTTCCAGTGTAGTGAGAGCGACTTTATCATGGTGCAACGTAATACCGGCCGGATTTCTGCCTGCGTGAACGCAAATAACTCAGATATACAGTGGGGAAAAAAAGTATTTAGTCAGCCACCAATTGTGCAAGTTCTCCCACTTAAAAAGATGAGAGAGGCCTGTCATTTTCATCATAGGTACACGTCAACTATGACAGACAAAATGAGAAAAGAAAATCCAGAAAATCACATTGTAGGATTTTTAATGAATTTATTTGCAAATTATGGTGGAAAATAAGTATTTGGTCACCTACAAACAAGCAAGATTTCTGGCTCTCACAGACCAGTAACTTCTTCTTTAAGAGGCTCCTCTGTCCTCCACTCGTTACCTGTATTAATGGCACCTGTTTGAACTTGTTATCAGTATAAAAGACACCTGTCCACAACCTCAAACAGTCACACTCCAAACTCCACTATGGCCAAGACCAAAGAGCTGTCAAAGGACACCAGAAACAAAATTGTAGACCTGCACCAGGCTGGGAAGACTGAATCTGCAATAGGTAAGCAGCTTGGTTTGAAGAAATCAACTGTGGGAACAATTATTAGGAAATGGAAGACATACAAGACCACTGATAATCTCCCTCGATCTGGGGCTCCACGCAAGATCTCACCCCGTGGGGTCAAAATGATCACAAGAACGGTGAGCAAAAATCCCAGAACCACACGGGGGGACCTAGTGAATGACCTGCAGAGAGCTGGGACCAAAGTAACAAAGCCTACCATCAGTAACACACTACGCCACCAGGGACTCAAATCCTGCAGTGCTAGACGTGTCCCCCTGCTTAAGCCAGTACATGTCCAGGCCCGTCTGAAGTTTGCTAGAGTGCATCCAGAAGAGGATTGGGAGAAAGTCATATGGTCAGATGAAACCAAAATAGAACTTTTTGGTAAAAACTCAACTTGTCGTGTTTGGAGGACAAAGAATGCTGAGTTGCATCCAAAGAACACCATACCTACTGTGAAGCATGGGGGTGGAAACATCATGCTTTGGGGCTGTTGTTCTGCAAAGGGACCAGGACGACTGATCCGTGTAAAGGAAAGAATGAATGGGGCCATGTATCGTGAGATTTTGAGTGAAAACCTCCTTCCATCAGCAAGGGCATTGAAGATGAAACGTGGCTGGGTCTTTCAGCATGACAATGATCCCAAACACACCGCCCGGGCAACGAAGGAGTGGCTTCGTAAGAAGCATTTCAAGGTCCTGGAGTCTCCAGATCTCAACCCCATAGAAAATCTTTGGAGGGAGTTGAAAGTCCGTGTTGCCCAGCGACAGCCCCAAAACATCACTGCTCTAGAGGAGATCTGCATGGAGGAATGGGCCAAAATACCAGCAACAGTGTGTGAAAACCTTGTGAAGACTTACAGAAAACGTTTGACCTGTGTCATTGCCAACAAAGGGTATATAAGAAAGTATTGAGAAACTTTTGATATTGACCAAATACTTATTTTCCACCATAATTTGCAAATAAATTCATTAAAAATCCTACAATGTGATTTTCTGGATTTTTTTTCTCATTTTGTCTGTCATAGTTGACGTGTACCTATGATGAAAATTACAGGCCTCTCTCATCTTTTTAAGTGGGAGAACTTGCACAATTGGTGGCTGACTAAATACTTTTTTTCCCCACTGTACATGAAAACATGAAATGATCCAGGGAATCGATAGAACATCACTCAGAGATGCACAAAACAATATAACATTAAAATGGGTGAACCTTTCCTTTATTTTCAGCATCTACTGTATAATAGTAGCAGTGTCATCATTAAGTTCATTACTGATGGAAGGATACAGTTTACACAGAGATTAGTTGTCCCAGTGCATGGGGGGCCAGTATGAAAAAAAATTAACAAAAATGTATGCACTCACTAACTGTAAGTCGCTCTCTGCTAAATGACTCAAAATGTAAATGTAAAATGTTTGTGCATGTGTATTTGTATATATGTGTGTGTGTGTGTGTGTGTCTTTGTGCATGTGTGAATGCATGCATGTGTGTATATGTTTGTTTGTTAGGTCTCAACCCCTGCTCTCCCCCTCTCTTCCCCCCAGGAGGAGAGGTGTCTGCTAGGGTTTCCCTGTGTGAACCCTCTAGTGGCTCAGCTGATGTTGAGGAGGGGCCCCTCTCTCCACTGGCTCCTCGGGGCCTCCCTCTCCCAGCTGCAGGAGCTGCTCCCTGAGGTCCCTCACAAAGTCATCAAGGTGACCTGGCCAGTCATCTCCTCTCACTTTAGTGTCCTGGGGCCGGATTCACAAAACACTTCTTACGCAAAAACTTAAGAATCTTAAGAGAAAAAAAAAAGAAGTTCATAAGATAGTTTGAAAGTGCAATTCCTAAACAATATCTTAAGATTTAATTATTTTCTTACTAACTTCTCAAATATCTTCTTACAAATCTTAAGATGTTTGTTGCTAGGCAACCATTTTAGCTCACTATCTAGCTAGCAATGGCAATCATGTTAGCATATTTCTTACTGAGATTACTGTTCTAAAACATGTTCTTGGGTTTAAAATAATAAATACTGAAACTTTCAGATGAAGTTTGTGAGTGAATTAAACATGTTCAATTGCTTTAATGAGCGTTTTCTCTCACTGCCCTGAGTTTAAGACAAGGGTTTAGCTATCTTGGAATTAAACATTTTTCAATAACTTTATTTTCAATAATCTAATTTCTTCTTTACTTTTTGCTTAAGGAGAAACATAAGAAATAGCGCAAGAAAATGAAAAAATGGCAGTTAAGAAGAAATCTCTTCTTAAGAAGGTTTTGTGAATCTGGGCCCTGGTCTTGTCATACACCTTGCCTTTACTGGGAAGACAATATGGGGTTGTATATTGTATCTTTTTTGTATATGACAATGTAGATGGATGTGTTTTCCATATGCTATGGAGCAGCTGCACCCTCATCATTACGAACTTTGTCAACTTTGTTTATCAGCCAAACTCTTTGGTGGTGCTGTATTGATAATACTTGCAGTAATACAATATCTTCTTTTTATTCCAGCTCTTCAGTGACACCACGTCTCTGTACAAGCTGACTGTGGCTGCCTCCTCTCCAGAGTCTCACACTGAACTCACTCATCAGAAAGACCACAGTAGCCCCACTGACCCTTGTCAATCAACACACACACACACCGAGTCACACACACACCGCGACCCTCACACACACCACGACCCTCATACAAGCCTCGACCCTCACAAACACCACTGTCCACACACACACCTCGACCCAGAACCATTCAAGCCCAACCCCAACAGCTTCCTCGCTGGCTCCCCCAATGCTGAGAGTGTAGCTGGGAGCTTCTATGAAGAGAGCTCTGTCATGACCAAGGAGGACAGTGCAGACTTCCAGGTGGACTTGAGTCGCTCCTTCGGCTCCCAGCAGGCCCCTTTCCAGCACACCTGGAGCCACAACCCATGGGAGGCAGATGAGGAGAGTGATGAGGTGAAGTTTGTAGGCTGGAATAGAGGAGGAGGAGGAGAGGAGTGGATGTCCAGAGCATCCCTACACCAGGAGCCTTGTGGCTCCCCCAGAGACTACGCGCCAGAGAACCCTTTTCAGACAGACCCCTCGTCCTAATTCAGCTACAGCACCAACACGCAAAGACCAGCGTACTCCGAAAACCAGATGTACTCGTTCTCTACAGTAGGCTACAGTGAACAGCAGCAGTACCCTGATGGCAGCCACTACCCCAGCCTGGCCTCGCCTAGAGGAGCTCTGCCATGGGGGGACAGTAGCATTGACAGCCCCTACAGCACTACCCAGGGTAGGGGAGACATGAGTGTGACACCTGACCATGAGACCAGTTACAGGACGGGGATGGAGAGGAAGAGGAGAGCAGAGGGCCCAAAGATGGTTGGCACAGGTGAACAATGAGAGTAACATGTTAGACTGCTGATGAAGCAAGTTTACATTTAAATAGATTTTTAGAGATCTCCTGTAGTGGTTTGGGAAAGTTCCAGTATAGCCTTTAGTGTGAAAATAGTATAATTATTGAGGTAAATGTGATAAATTACGAGATTATGTTGTCCTGTTTTCATGTATTCTTACTCTTATTTTTTTATTTTTTTTATTTTTATTTTTAACGCCATTGAAGAGGGGAAAGCTCAGTTATGAGAAGGTGCCAGGCCGACGTGATGGACAGACAAGACTAACCTTTTTCTAAAATGTCTCATACAGTGCCTTGAAAAAGTATTCATTCCCCTTGGCGTTTTTCCTATTTTGTTGCATTACAACCTGTAATTTAAATGGATTTTTATTTGGATTTCATGTAATGGACATACACAAAATAGTCCAAATTGGTGAAGTGAAATGAAAAAAAGAACTTGTTTCAAATAAATAACGGAAAAGGGGTGCGTGCATATGTATTCACCCCCATTGCTATGATGCCCCTAAATAAGATCTGGTGCAACCAGTTACATTCAGAAGTCACATAATTAGTTAAATAAAGTCCACCTGTGTGCAATCTAAGTGTCACATGATCTGTCACATGATCTCAGTATATATACACCTGTTCTGAAAGGCCCCAGAGTCTGCAACACCACTAAGCAAGGGGCACCACCAAGCAAGAGGCACCATGAAGACCAAGGAGCTCTCCAAACAGGTCAGGGACAAAGTTGTGGAGAAGTACAGACCAGGGTTGGGTTAAAAAATAATATCAGAAACTTTGAACATCCCACGGGGTACCATTAAAACCATTATTAAAAAATGGAAAGCATATGGCACCACAACAAACCTACCAAGAGAGGGCCACCCACCAAAACTCACGGACCAGGCAAGGAGGGCATTAATCAGAGAGGCAACAAAGACACCAAAGATAACCCTGAAGGAGCTGCAAAGCTCCACAGCGGAGATTGGAGTATCTGTCCATAGGACCACTTTAAGCCGTACACTCCACAGAGCTGGGTACATTCCACAGAGCTGGGCTTTACGGAAGAGTGGCCAGAAAAAAGCCATTGCTTCAAGAAAAAAATAAGCAAACACGTTTGGTGTTTGCCAAAAGGCATGTGGGAGACTCCCCAAACATATCGAAGAAGGTACTCTGGTCAGATGAGACTAAAATTGAGCTTTTTGGCCATCAAGGAAAACGCTATGTCTGGCGCAAGCCCAACACCTCTCATCACTCCGAGAACACCATCCCCACAGTGAAGCATGGTGGTGGCAGCATCATGCTGTGGGGATGTTTTTCATCGGCAGGGACTGGGAAACTGGTCAGAATTAAAGGAATGATGGATGGCGCTAAATACAGGGAAAGTCTTGAGGGAAACCTGTTTCAGTCTTCCAGAGATTTGAGACTGGGACAGAGGTTCACCTTCCAGCAGGACAATGACCCTAAGCATACTTCTAAAGCAACACTTGAGTGGTTTAAGGGGAAACATTTAAATGTCTTCGAATGGCCTTGTCAAAGCCCAGACCTCAATCCAATTGAGAATCTGTGGTATGACTTTAAGATTCCTTTACACCAGTGGAACCCATCCAACTTGAAGGAGCTGGAGCAGTTTTGCCTTGAAGAATCTGCAAAAATCCCAGTGGCTAGATGAGCCAAGCTTATAAAGACATGCCCCAAGAGACTTGCAGCTGTAATTGCTGCAAAAGGTGGCTCTACAAAGTATTGGGGGGGGGGGGGGGGGGGGGGGGGGGGGGGGGGGGGGGGTGAATAGTTATGCACGCTCAAGTTTTCAGTTTTTTTGTCTTATTTCTTGTTTGTTTCACAAAAATATATATTTTGCATCTTCAGAGTGGTAGGCATGTTGTGTAAATCAAAAGATACAAACCCCCCAAAAATCCATTTTAATTCCAGGTTGTAAGGCAACAAAATAGGAAAAATGCCAAGGGGGTTGAATACTTTCGCAAGCCACTGTATCCGTGAAGTGTTGAAATAGTAAGATTGGCCTGAAAAGTTTACAGCATCCTGTCAGTCCCTTGCCCTGTCTACAACTACAGACATTAGGTATGTAAGATATACAAGTAGTATGCCATAGGTTCTTGAGTGTTTGAAGGACACTATTAAGTGTTCAACTGTTGTTGGGAAAATAATTGTCAATTTATGTGTAAGTAAAGTTTTTTAAATAATTATTTTGTGAATCTTTTTATAAGAAGGATACGTTTAAACAGACGGGTTTGTGAAATTTTGACTTCATATTAAAATATAATGCTAAAGATAAAAAATTGTAAGTTATGCTAGGACAAATACTTTAAAAATTAAAGCCAATCTGAAATGTTGTCCTTTTCGTAGCTTTTGCCAGAACGTGTTAAGAATTGTATCAGCATTATGAACAAGACAGGATTAATATTTATGAACTCAAATGAATGTATGCCAGTAATTTCATGAATTCAAATGTTCACTTAGTGCATATCTAGAAATCTTCCGACTAGTCCAGGGGTGTCAAACTCATTTTGCCCCGGGGGCCGCATTCGGTCTTCGATGAGGTCCGGAGGGTCACACTGAAAATTTGTTATAATTCCTGGTTATCAAAAATTGAAAAAATAATTGTCCTTTTTGGAAATTATGATCCTCCCTGACTGTCTAGCTTTCATTTCGGTGATTATTAGAGAGCTGGACATAGTCTAGAACAGGGATCATCAACTATATTCAGCCGTGGGCCGATTTATTTTCTTGAGGGGATGGTCGGGGGGCCGGAACATAATTTCAAATAATTTGTAGACTGCAAATTGACCACAAGAATCCCAAACAGATATAATATTTGACTAAAACCTTGCTTACATTTGTATACGATCACGTCTCTCTATTATGCGTGGGAATACTTGGGAACAGATTTCCAATTGGAGCTGATTTCCTGGTGTTTGTACAGTCTTATATCCAACAACGAAAGTTTTAAATGTAATTTTTTATTAATTTTTGCTTCGATAACTTGGGGGGCCAAATAAAACCACCTGCGGGCCGCCAGTTGGGGAACCCAGGTATATAAACTGTATTCATGTAGTTCCATTGTCATTTCTACACAGTTTCGATTTAGTGTTAGTCATTTTGAAGTATATTGAGTTCGTTCCCCCCCCACCCCCAAATATATATATATACACTACCATTCAAAAATGTGGGGTCACTTAGAAATGTCCTTGTTTTCGAAAGAAAAGCAATTTTTTTGTCCATAAAAATAACATCAAATTGATCAGATATACAGTGTAGAAGTTGTAAATGTTGTAAATGGCTATTGTAGCTGGAAACGGCTGATTTTTAATGGAAGCACCAGTGATTTGGTTAATAAAAAAAGTGGTCAGATGACGCAGATGCTAAGCTACAGGACTGTTTTGCTAGCACAGACTGGAATATGTTCCGGGATTCTTCCGATAGCATAGAGGAGTACACCACATCAGTCACTGGCTTCATCAATAAGTGCATCGATGACGTCGTCCCCACAGTGACCGTATGTACATACCCCAACCAGAAGCCATGGATTACAGGCAACATCCGCACTGAGCTAAAGGGTAGAGCTGGCGCTTTCAAGGAGCGGGTCTCTAACCCCCTATAAATCCCGCTATGCCCTGCGACGAACCATCAAACAGGCAAAGAGTCAATACAGAACTAAGATTGAATCATACTACACCGGCTCTGACGCTCGTCGGATGTGGCAGGGCTTGAAAACTATTACAGACTACAAAGGGAAGCACAGCCGTGAGCTGCCCAGTGACACAAGCCTATCAGACAAGCTACAGATGATGCAATCTCTATTGCACTCCACACTGCCCTTTCCCACCTGGACAAGAGGAACACCTATGTGAGAATGCTATTAATTGACTACAGCTCAGCGTTCAACACCATAGTGCCCTCAAAGCTCATCACTAAGCTAAGGACCCTGGGACTAAACACCTCCCTCTGCAACTGGATCCTGGACTTCCTGACGGGCCGCCCCCAGGTGGTAAGGGCAGGTAACGACACATCTGCCACGCTGATCCTCAACACGGGGGCCCCTCAGGGGTGCGTGCTCAGTCCCCTCCAATACTCCCTGTTCACCCATGACTGCATGGCCAGGCACAACTCCAACACCATCATTAAGTTTGCCGACTACACAACAGTGGTAGGCATGATCACCGACAACGATGAGACAGCATATAGGGAGGAGGTCAGAGACCTGGCCGTGTGGTGCCAGGATAACAACCTCTCCCTCAACGTGATCAAGACAAAGGAGATGATTGTGGACTACAGGGGGAAAAAAGAGGACTGAGCATGCCCCCGTTCTCATCGACGGGGCTGTAGTGGAACAGGTTGAGAGCTTCAAGTTCCTTGGTGTCCACATCACCAACAAACTATCATGGTCCAAACACACCAAGACAGTCGTGAAGAGGGCACAACAAAGCCTATTCCCCCTATGGAGACTGAAAAGATTTGGCATGGGTCCTCAGATCCTCAAAAGGTTATACAGCTGCACCATCGAGAGCATCCTGACTGGTTGCATCACCGCCTGGTATGGCAACTGCTCGGCCTCAGACCGCCAGGCACTACAGAGGGTAGTGCGTACGGCTCAGTACATCACTGAGGCCAAGCTTCCTGCCATCCAGGACCTCTATACCAGGCAGTGTCAGAGGAAGGCCCTAAGAATTGTCAAAGACTCTAGCCACCCTCGTCATCGACTGTTCTCTCTGCTACCGCACAGCAAGCGGTACCGGAGCGCCAAGTCTAGGTCCAAAAGGCTTCTTAACAGCTTCTACCCCCAAGCAATAAGACTCCTGAACAGCTAATCATGGCTACCCGGACTATTTGCACTGCCCCCCACCCCACCCCATCCCCCTCTTTTACGCTGCTGCTACTCTGTTTATTATTTATGCATAGTCACTTTAACTCTACCCACATGTACATATTACCTAAATTACCTCGACTAACCGGTGCCCCCGCACATTGACTCTGTACCGGTACC